TGTTAAGAGCAGTGCAGACGTTTTAGAGCAAAAGTTACCTCGCACAAAGACCATCTGTGTTACTCACTTCGAGAGCCATGTTAGATTTTGAAACTTATGGCTCTCAAACGGAGAAGTGAACAGCTGATCAATAGTGACCTTTGAAATCGAATTAAGTCGATCCGCGGCTTACTTTTGGCCTCTAACTGTGTCTTACATCAGTATCATCAATCCGTGTAAGTATTGGAGCGCTGGAGTACTTCTTTTTCGATCAAGACTTGTAAATTGTTCATCGAGTGAAAGTTTTTTAGACCTATTTCCAATATGGCGGTTTGCTAGGTGCGAGATACGCAACGAACGAAATGAATTTTGAGAATTAGTTAGGTTCGGACAACCTCCGGAGATTTACGGAAATGTCCGAGCAGAAACCGCCATATTGGAATTTGGCAGTAAAACGATTCACTCGACTAACAATTACAAGTCTTGATCGAAAAAGAAGTATTCCAGCGCTCCAATACTTACACGGATTGATGATACTGATGTAAGACACAGTTAGAGACCAAAAGTAAGCCGCGGATCGACTTAATTCGATTTCAAAGGTCACGATCATTGAGCTGTCTAAATGCTCCGTGGGAAAGCTATTATATCAAAATCCAAATAGCTTTCGCAGGAAGTAACATCTGTGTCTATCTCTAATATCAAAGAGATCGTCTTGGTAGGAGATAAGTGCAGAAGATGCATTTTTGCCTCACTCAATTTGGGATGCTGGCTACGCCCCCGGGCATACATTAGCTGAATTCTTAGTGAAGTCTCTATACTAGCCAATAACATTGTGGTCGCCCCTATAAGATGGCAAGCTATTTCAAACTTATTCCAATCAGGAAGCAAGAGATAGCCAAGCTGTAATTATTCCATTTTATGAATGGGTGCTAATACGTCTCATTAACACTTATATTAGAGGCAGAATTGAATCTATAGGGAGTGAGAAATGATGTAAAGTTAAAACATTCCAGTTCATTCCTTACAATCTCAAATATAATATCTACACATATACGATATAAATCCTATGTACGATCATATGCTAAATTCTTATGAAATGATAAATATAATAGTCTTAACTCACTGATGCCATACTTATTTTGAAATTAAATCAACCCAAGAACATGTTTTCAGACAATTCCAAGATCGACCCATTTCTTTGCCTAAATTGTGTGTTTTTCTCTTGATAATCATTTTTCTGAGGTTTAAGAATATATATTTTTCATGTTATCAATTTATTATTTCTAATATAAACAATTACAATCGATTTCAATTAGCTAATTGCCATGGTTTTACAACATTAGCGGCAATTTAATGGGTTGTTCAAAATGTTTTTCACAAATATGTCTTATTGTGAGAATAATGGACCAATCTTGTTCATAGTTGGTATATATGTGTCCATATCTTATTCCCTTACACTGTCAAAGTTTCATGTATATACGCCTACTGCTTAACATTTTACGGTTGCTATAGTAACCACGGTGATGACGCTATGGTCCATATCATTTTGTAAAAGATAACTAGTAACACATAAAGATCAATGTTACCAAGCATGCTAAATTAACTTTCATAAACTGTCAATTTAAAGGACGATTCTCGGTTTGGAGAACGAAGTTCATCAATCTAAATGAGCATTATCCCTGCTTCGGACAAATTTGATTTTTTTAACATAATATAGATTTGAATGTCCTCTTTTGAATAGTCATAATTTAATTTGGGTAATATTTCTAGATTTTTCGCAAAAATATATTAGCGCAGTACACTGATGAACTTCTTTCCCCAAAATCGAGACTTGTATTTTATTGAATCGGTCTAATTGAGCGTTATCCCTGCTTCAGACCAATTTGTTATTTTTACATCTTGTAGATCTAAATGTCCTCTTTTGAAAATTCATAATTTAATTTGGGTAATATTTCTATTTTTTCATGAAAAAAATTATAAGCCCAGGAGACTGTTCTCCAAACCGAGAATCGTCCTTTAAACAATTTCTTGTATTGTTCTCATGGAAACTGGGAATCTTATCTCGATATTTCCCATCTGGTTTTCTTTGGTTATGTCAAAGAATGACCGTAAACATACTCTTCAAAAAGAGGGGGAGAAACCCAAGGGTTCAAAGATGACATACGCTTATAATGTAAATCTGTATTGAGATGACATCGTCGCTGATTGGTTTAGCGAGTCGATCGTTGATTGGTTTAAAACTAGGTCAATTTGAAAACTTTGACCTTTTAAATAAAATAAATCCAACCACAAAATGATTAAAAAACTAACGTGGACATCTATCGAGTGTATTCGAAGAAATAAGTAAACTAAGAATACTTGGGTCAGGTCAGAATACTTCGGCAAGAGTCAGAATAGATGGGTAGCCAAGTATACTTGGGCTTTGACATACGTACTTCCGGGAAAGGAGGTGCGCGAAGGAGGAAATCGTATGTTATCAATTGAATCATGGGGTTTTCCCTCTTCTCTTCACACAAATCACATGATCGGAATCACCAGCTAAGGCCCGTTTAATATTTCTTTTGGGGAATTCATCCATTTTTGGATGAGCTGGGCTTCAACTGTGTACGAACGGACTGGACGTACTTAGAACCGTTTGGGGTCTATTTAGAAACTTCATCGAACGTACTCGAACGGGTAGGTCCTCTAGAAGTTAGAGCATGCTCAAAATGTTCTCGTGGTCGTCACGTTCTACATTTAGAATGAGTGACAACGTACTAACGACGAGCTGGACGTACTACGAACGGAACCGTCGTACTTCAATCCTACTGGGGACGTTTTTACAACGAGTTGAACTGTCTAAGGACGTACTAGTATTGAGAACGAGGTAGAACTAATTGCAAACGGGTTTAAACTCACTAAAAACGTATTAAAGACTGCCTATGAACAAGTTAGCAAAAATATAGCCATCACACCAAACAAGTTGCCACTGCGTTCTTCAAAACTGGTTTTAAATTGTGTGCGAACAGAATGAACGTAGCTGCAACTTTCTAAGGTCTATTTACGAATTTCATGAACTTTCTCAGACGGGAAGGTGATTTTAGAATTTTGAAATGATTCAAAATTCGATGGCGACCATACCGCTCTGTAATCAGGTCATGATGACCTTCTAGACTAAGGGACGCGTTATACGACGTTGCACACCGACGAGGTGCGACCTGAACGAACTGCGAATGAGATGGACGTATTGAAGACTGTTTATGAACGAAGTAGCTAATTATTTTAGACATATTTCCCGACCACTGCCAGATTAAGCCCGTTTTACGAAGTTTTCGTAGGACTGGCAAGAATGGGTAAGAACTAGTTTGGTGTGATAGGGGGGTTAGATGCATCATGATAAACCATAACATCTCATTTCTTCTCAGCCCTGTTCAGGTGAAACAGAAATATGCTATGAGTATCAGAATGCCTAAGATGATTTATGTTGACAAATTGACTGGTCACTTGTGAGCTGTGATTCTCCCCCCCCTCCTCCTGCTATTTGTGGTATATATAAAAATTCCACTGCTGAACCCGTTTCCGAGTTGCAAAGGCAAACACTTTCCCGCTAATTTTGATGTATCTCAACAATGTTTCAGGATATTTAGACAAATGTCCAATGACTAATAAAGAGGTTTTACACATTATTTTGTTAAGTACGAGACGGGTTATACAATTTTGTGGTATAGCAGTATTACATCCTATCTTGTATGTCAATGAAATATTATTTTGACAAAGTTCAATACATGTCCAAGGACATTTTTAACGAGAAAATATGGTCCTGAATGACAGGTAAAAAGACCATGATTTGGTATCTATAGTCCACCCCGGACATCACATTCTAGCTAACGGACTAAAATACCTGAGGAAATATAGTCCATCGGCCTTGTTATTCTAGATAATATAGTCCAGGACCTTATTTTCCAGGACTTATAGTCTAACGGACAATATGAAGCACGGTCCATATTTACGTTGACACCGGGATTGACTCCTGTACATTTACATTCGTAAGATTACTCTAAAATTCAAAGGATTGTCCCAAAATAAAGTCAGAACAGAATTTTCTAAAAACTTCCACTCAACTTACTCCAATCTTAGTTTCACATATTATAGTTCTTGTAGACCGCAGTGTTGTTACGATAGTATGGTGTCATTAGCATACTAGAATATTAAGGATTTTCAAATCATAGATTTATCATCATTTACCAATTTTGGGAGATTTCAACAGGGGTCAATTTTACAGGCATGCTTTCCACTAAAATAGATAAATCCAGCGTATAAAGATTATACAAGATTGTCAAATGAAGAAATAAAAGTTTATTACAATCATTGAATGCCTATCTCTTCTGATACATTGCCTTATAATTTTTGTTGAAGTTTATGTAGATTGTAGTTAAATATGCAAGATAAATTGTAGTAAAAACGCAGTAATTCGTTGAGATAATAACAATGAGATGGTCCCTTAGTTGAGATCATGTGATACAATAATAACAGTATATATATACACTACTATAAAACAACCTGAATCTCTTGCTAATAACTGACCTGTAGTTTAGAGACAATTATGACGACTGTGTCACTACAATATTAAAGGACAAAGACATACACAGAAATAATTCAACAAGTCAGTAAAAGGAGGAGGGAAAGTAGCGCAACAGATTTTGGACAGTCATATGTTTGATTTTGGCTATTTTGTTGAGGATTTAAACAGGTGCATATGTTAACTCAAAAATAAAAACATGATTATAGTGCTGATACAAAATAATTGATACTCATAGAGATGATAAAATAATTTTGATATTGAGGCAGGGAAGATACAAACAACCCACACCCGTGTTTTTCTGAAATGTTTTCCTGAGAATAGCCAAAATCCAGCATATGACTGTCCGAAATCTGTTGCGATACTTTCCCTCCTCCTTTATCAGTAAAACCGTACTACTCTTTAGGTAACAAAAACAAACATAGTCGTTTGCCGCTTCGTGTAAATCAGGATTTTGAAGTGTTAAAAATTAGAATGGATGGCACAACATTAGAACACAATGTAAGTTACTTGTACAGCTGGCAAAGGGAAGTGGATACAAGAAATGTACACATTGGACTGTTATGTTGGGCTGGCGTCATCTTTGTTTTCATGATTCTTAACAATGGTTTGCTCATAACAGTAGTTCTAAAACATAAATACTTGCAGACGCCTCCAAATATCATAGTCTTGAACATAGCAATAGTTGACTTCATACAAGGATTATTTGGAATGCCGATTCGAGAATCTATGACATATGAATATGACATAGCAAGAGGTGTCGTTCTAGGAATGGTTGATAAAAAATACGTTTGCTTCTTGCGAATATTCTTTACGCTTCTTAGTACAGGTGGCGAATTGTTCCTTTTTGCCACACTGGCAATAGAACGCTTTGTAGCAATTGTGTTGCCATTTCGTTATGATCGTTGGATGTGTAAGAGAAATACGATTTTACTGAGCTTGTTGTGTTGGGTTCTTGTATTCGTCATCACTGCCCCTGCATTCTTTGTCTGGAACAGGTGGGACGTCAACAAACAGTGTTCAGTACAGAACACACTTCTTAATGTTTATAACTCAGCCGTCTTGAATCCCATTGTTTACGCTTCGATGGCACTAACGGCAGGCTTGTATGGGAAGATATTCTGGGTTGCAAAAATGAAGCGCTCGCAGATTCTGGCTCAGATTCAAGCCGTGGACCATGCCAAAGCTGTGGCATATAAACGTAGCTACAAGATCCTGAAAAACGTAGTAACAATCTTAGGTTTATTTATACTATCATGGATTCCATTACTTTTCGTGAGAATCGTTCTGACGCGCACAAGTCTCGATTCGGGCACGATCTTTCTACTAATGAGTATCACATACAAAATCTTATTGGTTAAATCTGTGGTTAATCCAATAATATTCTGTAAGAAAGACAGGAGGTTACGAATGGCGGTATTAAAACTGGTACGTTTACGTCAACAAAATGAAGAAGTTTACTTCATATCTGATGGGTCGAGGAGCACGACCACCAGATTGTCTCTTGATGATAATAATGGTGCAGCTGGGGTCGCAACAAGAGACGCTAGAGATGGAAGAGGTACTGAAGTACCAAATAGCACAGAATGTTCAGTGGTGAAGTTTTAAATGTCATCAACTACATGGTTTTGTTTGGGCTAGCTGCCGTAGTCAGCTATTGGCGGTTGTTAGCCCTATCGGCAAAAGTATTGTTATGTAACATTCTGTAATTTATAATAAAATTACGTCATCATATTATATAGCCAACAACAAACCTACTTAGTTGTGTTTCTCTTAACTTTTGCCTACAAAGAGCCCAAGTACCCAGAACACTACAGCTTCATAAATGTGGCTTTGCAATATTGCATTGACACGTCGCAAAAAAGTCTTTCATGTGTGTTTATAGGTATATCCTTAATTCACATTTGATCTACAGCAATCGTACGGCGGGCGTAGCTTCCCAAAATCGAGAGAAATATGCAGCATAAAATGTAGGAATAAGCAGAACGATGTAAATTTTCTATATCGATTTTGTGAAGCTGTAAAACAAATTGACTGAGGCTTTAGATGATGTTTCAAGATAAATGATATATCATTTTAAAGCTATCTTAATGTTCAAATTGGGAAAACTTTACTTTCGAAATTCAATAGATTTTGAAATATCGTTTTAATGTACAGGACGAACGAATTTCCACAGTTATTGATTTATTTGCACATTTTGGACAAAAACGCATTTCAATCATATTTTTTATGAATATAATAGTACATCGATATTTGTCTTCTTATATGTTCCGGAGCAAATAAAGATAAAATCAACAACAAAACTCCGGCAGCCGGAGCCGTCATTTTGGTACCAGAATCATCGGAACGTGGTGGCTTACAATACAAGCGCGACCTTCTTGCGACGTGTCTATGAACATGATGAAAAGAAACACAGTTGTAACCCAGAGAATACTATCAAATTAAGAGTCGGATAACCTATTACATTAAATGTACATTAACTATGGGTGAAATTGATACCCTCCTGTAGATAGTGAGACGCCCGATATCAACTGAAATCGGTTTAGGAAAAGGCCATGGAACCAACCGAAGAGACACAACTTGATAGTATTTTTTTAGAGTGGGATGAAAATATTAGCAACACTTCTATGTCATGTGGTATTTGTATAGAGCTAGACGAGAGTTGTATAAAATTGCACATATATAGGGTGTCCGGAAAGTAAAGATACAAACACTCTAATTTTAAGAGATTTAGGTTTCTTGTAATGAAATTGCTACAGATTGTAGAGGAACCATATTACAATACATCTGCCAACTTTTATAACATACAGTCTAAACGTGTTTAAGTTACGGTTGTCATGGTTACGGTGGTGAGGGTATGTGGAGCAGTTCCAGGATATCACTAAATTGCGATAAATTGCTAAAATATAACCATTTGAAACAGTGCTTATTTTGGTATTTCCTATCAATGTTTTGTTTTGTTCAATATTGTATTCTTGCTGCCATAGTATTCTCTTTAGATTAATGATATCATTGATACATATCAGAACTATGTAATGTCACCAGTATAATCAAAGAAAAAGTATATGTGCTTAGGAAAAGGGTCCCAGGATTAATAGAAGAGTCAACAGTCCACCTCCACAGTAAATGCACCAATTCACAAAGCAAAGAAAACAAATCTCACAATTGAATGTCTTAACATTGAACCTTTTTGTCAATGGTCAATATTTGGTCTGATAATGTCCCGTTGGACTTCTACATTAATGAATATCTTAAAGCAATATTTCTTAGAAGTTCAACATGAAAATGAGATTCGGCTGGAAACCAATGTTAGCAGCAATCTTAGAGATGGGCAGCGGCGGTTTTGTCAGATCTTGGAATCACCAGTCAAAATGCACCAAGAATCAGAGAATGTTAAGATAATGGTGGGAAATACATAATACCAGATACCAGAAGTAATGCCAAATGACTAAATAATGTTACAGTACTAATCCTTTTGCTGCTGCGGTACATAATTTGATATATAATAGCAACAGATGACAAAGTGTCAAGATGATATGAACTGGAGAAAAGATTTATAAAACATAATTGTGACGCTGCTCCACATACCCGCGACTCCTGTCACCATAACAACCATAACTTTTTTATTTTGAAACTATTTGTCATGATATTTGCAGGATAAATTGTTACAATGTCATTCTACAATCTGTAGCAATTTCATCTCACAACAGGTAAATCTATTGAAATTAGAGCATTTGTATCTTTACTTTCCGGACACCCTGTATATAATAATCCTTGAGAAGTTAACTTTATGTATGTCTTTTATAAAACGTAATGAGGGAAAATTGAGGTTCCTAGTTTTCATAGACAATTCCACTCCTGCTAGCCAATGCTGTACCAGAGGGCCAGAAAATCAACAAAGAGTATTATGCTCTAGTAAGTAAATAAAACTTAACCATTCAGCCAAACTCTAAATCTTTTCACTATGATGATGCACCCAGTCACACTGCTAACATTCTGATATATAGGTGCAGTTTCATCAATACGAATATGTTTTCAGTCACAGCTAAGTATAACAACTATTGGGAGTGAAGTAAATTCATATAGGGTGGCCAAGACTTTGGCATTTATTTGATTAATAATATTTTATCCACTAAAATCCTCTATTCATAGAAATAACTACAGTTATATTGAAAATAAGGATTAGACAGATGGCATTATATCTCGTTCTCATCAATTTTTTTGAAAAAATCATGTCCCTAAAATAGACTGGAATTTGAGAATGGAGATTTTGCTATTTTGGAGTAATGTTCATTAAAATTATCTGGGAATATCTTGTTTCCCGATCACATAACATTGTCGTACATGCATATTTTTGATATTTATTAATATTCATGGTTGTCGTTTATTCAATGTTATTGCCAGCAACCAGATACTGTATACAGTAAAACCTGTATATAGTGAACACCTATGGAGCCAGAAAAATTTATAATCACTGTATTTTGGTGTTTACTACAGAGAAAGAAGATTTTATACAGGAGCCGATGTAAAATGTGTCTTCTTAAAGTGGTGTTCACTAAACACAGGTGTTTCACTAAGACAAGTTTTGCTGTACTAGTACAGAACATGTATTACATAACTTATCGATTGAAACATTTAATCAGGTCATGCCAGGTCATCAGTGCAATATGTTCAATAAATATTGTATCATCGTGATAAGCTATGTAATCTTGTCGGTCTTCAATGCTGCTGGAGTATAACACTATAACATGGTGCAGTATTTGTATCTCTTACTCAGACTAGACGGTACAATGTCAGTACATGATTTGAATTCATCCCCTGTCAGAAAGTTGTCTTTCATTAGATAGTAAGTCTTTTAAGACAATGACACATGTTACATATACTAAGCTACCATGTTTAGTGTCAAGCTGAACATGTATACCCGTGTACTTCAAATAGCATCTCTTACATGAATAATTATGTCAGATTTATGCCTTGTAAATTTCTTTTTAAGTTCATCACTTCTTTTTGCTGTCTTTTGTTTTCTTCCTTGAAGGCATTTTTATTCATCTTTCGTTCTACTCTTCTTTCCTGAAAATGAAAACAAGGCACATGTGTATAAATTTGAATGAAATCCAATGAGTGGTTATCCTGGAATTGTGATGACAAGATTCAGGGTTCTCACCAGAATATAACCCCAAAAAAGAGATTTATCAAACAAAGTTCAAAATGGATGCTAGGAAACAAGAAAGCCAACAACTTGGTACCCTCTAACATAAAGATGAAAATCTGAAGAACGTTTTTACGGAGTTACAATCACACCAACCTGTGTTACACTAGTACTGAATAATAAAAAAAAAAAAAAATTATAAAATACATAACTCAAATTTTTTGGAATTATTCCAAACATCTTCGAACATCTTTTTTAATGCTTACAGTATTGTAATTGTGCTATGATTCTAAATCTGGGATCAAATATGTGACCCATAATATACCCCATGATGTTATATAAAGAACCTCACTTTTCTCTCTGCTTTTATTGCCTCTTTCCTTGCCTTTCTCTCTTCAGGAGTCTCGCCTTTAGGCCTATAGGTACTGGCCTTGTCAAACATATCTCCTTGTTTCATCTCCTCTTCTATCTGCCTCTTGGTGAGACCCCGAGTTGGTATGGCATCATCTGGTATATTCATCCTCTTGGTTAACTTGATAGGCTTGTCCTGAAAAGGATGTGTCCGGGTATATGCCCTTTTGGTCCCTCAGTCAAATGTATGTGAAATGTGTTTTTTATTACTGTCCTAGTTATATTTTATAAGTATATTTACTTTTTCACGAGTTTTGATGCATAATTAACCCCCTGCTGAGAGTCGGAATATAAGTATCTTAACGAAAAAAAATAGTCATTACCATAGAAAAAACACCAATGGCAACATGTATGACTTACAAAGAAGAAATAAATTAAGACCCATGAAGAATTTAAAAGAAAATCATACTTTTGAAATATATTTAATGATTAAATTTTTTTTCAAATTTTTGAATTTCCCGCCAGTTTAATTTGAAGGGGTAAAAACAAGATGGCTGCCATTTGATGTAAGAAATATCAGAAAAAAAGTTGCTTCACTTTTAGTTTTCACAATGAGCACAGTTTTCCGGTTTAGGTTTTTTGACTGATTCTGACTCTTCATCACCAGGGTCATGTATAGAGATTATAAAATTGAAACCACAATGTTGTGCTCAGCATGAATTTGACTGAAATATGTGTAACTTCACCAACACAATTGAAGTCTCAAAACTGGATGTTCAGTAACTTTGAGTGACTATAATCCCTTGATTACCCAGATAAACACCAATTCACTTATCCAGAAATACCATTCAATGTCTATACAAAGAAAGTAAGCAATGTTTTGGAGGATATGTTTCAAACCTTTTGTATAAATAATTCATTTAATATTTGCCGTTGATTTTGTTTCAATTCTGACAATGATATACACTGTCTTTGATGCCAATATTCTTCATTAATTGTGATACAAATTGATATTTTTGTACTCCCAGAAGAAGGATAAGATACTGAAGTTTAATAATATGTGTGATTGAGTTGGTTTTTCAGACATTACAATTTTCAATATTTTCTAAGTCGATACCCAGACTCATTCCCAGACTCATCCTTTGGTTAATCTTTTTCGTCTTACATGGTTCAAAACTCATACCTGGCTGACTGCCAACAATTGCACCCAAATCGTACATTAGGACAGTTCCAAAAACATACAGTATGATGGTTCCAAAAACAGACAGCTGATGCAGAATACAGGTCATAAAAATGGTGGCTAAAAAAATATCTAACATCTTCTTGGTAGTGATATAAAATTGTATGATGTAATATTTCAGATTGCTCTTACCTTTTTGGGAAGCTCTATTGTTTTTGGATGGTTGTATAAGGTTGAGTAGGTACCTGAAATATATCAACTGTCTACAACAAAGGGATATAGTCACAAAACAGACAAAACATTATTCCATGATTATTTTCCAAATCAACATTTTGTATTTTTGCTCAAGATACTATTATGCTACACTTTCATTAAATAACAATATGTACAGTATATACACAGGTACTAATCAAACAGCACTCTCATGCAAAATCCACAGATTCCTGGTAAAAAGTCGTATGACTTTGTAAATATTTTTCAAAACAAAGGATCTATCTCGGAAGTTCATCAACCTAGCTTATTCTTGTTAGTATACTCAGCGAGTGGAATATGTTTCACATCATCTGTGTGTTTTAGAAAACCTAGATTGTTCGTGAGACTGCACACGAATTGACATCTGAACTGGGTGCCAGTTTATGAAGAAACTTGAGATAAGCTGATATCACCAATGGGTGAATAGGGTAGGTAAATATGTGATTCGACTGAATTTACCATAAACAGATAGGTTAATTACAGTAAATTGTAATTGCAGTTTTATGACCTACCTTTATCTGATTTCTACTCTAAGAGTGTGATTTTTACCCAGATCGTGTGGAATTTGCAAGATAGTGCTATTGATTACTACCTGTGATATATTGTATGTTAAAAGCTTTAAAACAGAATAGGAATTTACAATCCATAATTGTAACGAAGTTATGGGCAGCTCTGATTGGCTCAGAGATTTCAGAGGTTTATCAGAAATGTTCAGAGTTTGAGACAGTTGAAACATTGAACTCTTGCAAAGGGTTGGTTATAAATTACATGCCAGAACTTTATTCCTTGCTGTTCATGCAAAATTTACATTCTTTTTCCATCTCAGATATATAATAATTATAACATAATTAGATTTATGAAATTATAAACAGTTTTGTCAGGGAGAATAGGTTATTAGTACAATAAATATATAGGTAAGGTCAACTCTGGTAAGATTGACCGGTCCCCAATCAGAGAACATGTGACCAGTGACGTCACGCACAGCAGGTGACAAGTTGTACGTCAGTTACCAAAAGAACTCCATTGAAGCAGGACGAAAAACCCACAAACCCTCCCTATAACCAACATGAAGACGGTAAAGTCAATATCACTAATACTAGGGTAAGTGAAATACAATATAACAGGTGCATCACACACCTTCATTTAATATAAAATGATTAACTAGAAAAACAGCAACTCCACGGAGTAGCAAATCCCACCGAACAAAACATGTTTTGATAAAAAATTTGAGCCAAATTCATCCACTGGTATTTGAGTTATCAAAGATTATGTTTTTATGAAACATGGTTGCCATTTTGAAATTCAGCTGTCATCTTTAGATTTCTTCTTTAGCAGAGAATGTCCGTCCAATGGTATTTGGGTTATCAAAGATTACTTTTTTAATGAAAAATGGCAGCCATTTTGAAATTCAGCTCACGCCTTTGAAATTTCTTCTGAAGCAGATCTACCTTTTCCCTAAACATCAGCAAATAAAATTGGAACCAAATCCATCCACTGGTATTTAAGTTATCATTAATTACGTTTTTTTATGAAAAATGGCGGTCATTTTGAAATTCAGTGGCCATTTTGAAAATTTATTTTTGAGCAGAACTTCTTTGTCTCTAGGCATCAGCATATAGAATTTGAACCAAATCCGTCATTTGGTATTTGAGTTATCAAAGGTTACGTTCTTTTATGAAAAATGGCGGCCATTTTGAAATTTAGTTACCACCTTGAAAATCCCTTCTCGAGCAGAGCTCCTGTGTCCCTAGGCATCATCATGTAAAATTTGAACCAAATCCATTCAATGGTAATTGAGTTATCAAAGATAATGTTTTTTTACGAAAAATGGCCGCCATTTTGAAATTTAGCTGCCATCACGAAAATCCTTTCTCGAGCAGAGCTCCTATGTCCCTAGGCATCAGCATCTAAAATTTAAACCAAATCCATTCAATGGTATTTGAGTTATCAAAGATAACGTTTTTTACAGAAAATGGCTGCCATTTTGAAATTTAGCTGCCATCTTGAAAATCCTTTCTCGAGCAGAGCTCCTATGTCCCTAAGCATCAGCATCTAAAATTTGAACTAAATCCATTCAATGGTATTTGAGTTATCAAAGATAACGTTTTTTACGAAAAATGGCCGCCATTTTGAAATTTGGCAGCCATCTTGAAAATGTCTTCTTGAGCAAGGTTCCTTTGTACCCAGGCAACAGTATATAAAATTAGAACCAAATCCATTTACTAGTATTTGAGTTATTAAAGATTATATTTTTTCCGAAAAATGGCCGCCATTTTAAATTAAGCGGCCATATTGAAAATTCCTTCTCGAGCAGAGGTCCTACACCCATAAGGCATAAGCCTATAAAATTTGAATGAAATCTGTCAACCGGTATTTGAGTTATTGCCCGGACACACGAACGGACGGACGGAAGAACGGACGGACGGACGGACGAACGGACGGATGGACGACAGGCGGGGTAGGTGTGACCTGACAAGGGACGCCTACCCCACCACCGGGGTATTTGCGACTTGAGATGGGGTAGATGTGACCTAAACTGGGGTAGGCGCAACCTGAGTAATAAACATGGGGTAAATGCGACTTGATGGGGTAGATGTGACTTACACTTTTAAAAATGATTTGGGGTATATGCGACTTGATATGTGAATTATGGCCTAGTCACATAGCCCGGCCGATGAGGTTCCGATGAGCCAGCGATGCAATTTTCACCGAACTCGGCCGAACTCGGCCGGACACCGGCCGGACATCCGTGGCGTTTGTTGCTTAAAACCGCATCGGTGGCAGCTCGGTGAAATTTTAACTTCGGAGTTAAATTTCACCGGGCTCTCACCGAGCTCCCTCATCGCAGCCCCATCGTAACCACATCAGAACACACGTCGGCCGGAGCACGGCCGAGTATCGGTCGGTGTCCCGTGCATCTGAGACAACCAGAGGACGAGGTTTTTTTAACGGACACCGGCCGAGCTCCGACCGAGCTCCGGCCGATGTGGGACAGAGCCTTGGAAAGTATAGTACCTGAAGATGTCCGGACGGAGTCCGTTCACGTCACCGAGCTCTGCTTCCGATGAGGAGAGCTCGGTGGCACCAAAAAAATCCACCGAGCTCTACCGATGCCGGACATCGGCCGGGCTATGTGACTAGGCCATTAAGGTGAAAATATCTGCTAACTGTATTATAAGTGCTAATATTATCAAATAAGTATTGCACTACCAATTGTCTACAAAATTAACATAATTGGCATATAATTTTGCTAGTTTTGCAGTTTCAGTTAATAAATTAAGATAATTGCACCAATGGGTATAAGGGGAGGGGGGGGGGGTACAAGGTAACCCCTTAATAAAATGTGGCAATAAAAGATCCTAATCTTACCATATGAGTTCTAATGGAATCCCTAATGGCAACTTGTTTTATTGGGAATGTAATGTTAATGATATTTAATTTGATAATTAATTATGATCATTGCTCTACAAAATAGAGAAAAATTATTTTTCTTTCACTAACCCATCATCCCTTTCCACTGAGTCAAGAGATAGAAACGATGAATATTGAAACCATGTAAAAAAAGATGACATTTATAATATCTTAAAGGTAGAATCAGATCTATAGGGAGTGACAAAATTGCAGACAATATGTACAATTGATGTACCAATGTATTCAAAAGAAGCTCAAATATAAAAATATAAAATCTACCAAAAGATCTGTGATATGTTATCAATTAGTGAAGTTATTTATGATTCAAAGTGCAAAAAAGTGGAAAAATATTTAAATTCTCCAAAATAATTAAATAATCTCCTTTATTTAAACAATTTAAAGATTTACCAATTGCGAGCATCTTTGAATAAAATGTTTGCCAATATCTATATAATTGGTACAATAACTGACAATTTATCCTCAGCTTTTCAGTGACTATTATTATCGAAATGATCAAAGTCATAATTATCATACTAGACAATCTAAACTACAGGCATAAAACTAATATAGAAATTTTTTCAATTAAAATTCAAGGACAAATAATTGTATTTGGAATAATCTGAAAATTAATAATCATCAGAAATAGCCTTTCTCTGAGTATTTTAAAATCAAGGCTAAAAGGTTTTGGATCAGCAAAATTCTGAATAACTAATATTATATCACTGTCATATTCTCACTCACTGATTGGTCTTTGTCCTGCCTGTGATTAAAAAATACGCTAACCATAATCAATGGAACTCCTGTGACTTTTCCTTGGTTTTTTACTTCTATAAATTGTATGTTTAGCATTTCATTTTGGAAAGAATAATGAAAAGTGACAACAAAAAAACTTTTTCTAATTTACTTTAGCACCAAACATGCCCTAGCACCTGTAGTAACCTGTAGACTGAAACGTTGAATTTAACATTATTGGGGCTCAAATAAAATGTTTATCTGAGACTGAGAATATTATGAATTTAGTTTTAAAAGTTCAAATATACATGTTCTCACTTATATACAATGGATAACTTGTACATCCTACATATTAAATGATGTAATATTATAGGTATTGAAAAATGACATCTTTATTAATGCCATGCCATCTAAAAAAATAAAGTCCTAGTTAGCTCAATATAACTTTGCAAGAGCACATCTTCAACTCCACAGTAAACTGCCACAAATGGCTTTTTAATTAATTACAATCGAATCCATTTCTCTACCACTACGTCTTTCACTTTGCTTTGTTTAGAAACATTTTAAGACATGTTGGGACATTTTAAGTATACACATTGGTAAAACAAATGAGCCATTCCTTGAAGCTTGTGACTTAGGTGAAAATATCACCATGATAGTCATACACTTTTGCTAGTTTTGCGCAGTTTTAGATAATATAATTGCACCAATGGGTATAAAGAGGGGGGGCGAAGTATCCAACTAGTAAAAGTGGCAATACGTCTCAAGATCCTAATTTTAGGAAATGAATTCGTATAGAAAGCCAGAGGGCAACTTGTTTTATTGGGAATGTAATGTTGATGATATCTTA